CTTTGTACGCAGGTAAACTGTGTTGCATCATGGCTCTACAGTTTCCTGGCTGTGGGATCATGAACATGCTACCTCCGCTGAGCCTGCATTTTTTTTTTTCATTTCTAAATGGAGAAGATAGTTGTGTCTGTGAGGTCAGAAAATCACATTGTGCATAAAACAGCATGCCCAATATCAGGTATGTATGAAAACATCTTCATAATATTTTTAGGAAGAATTAGCTGCCTTCCCAATGCTTAATTTATACTTTATACTATTCAATGTAAGTATAAATATATTTATTTTTCAATATAGCTTGGATCATATAATTATCTATTTATATGATTCTCATGAGATCATGTATGTTAATAGTTACATTCCTCAATCCAATATAGGTGTCTTGCATACCTCATAAATATTTATTAAAGTATGAAGCCATGTTGAAGGATTAAGTGGACATATTGTAAATATTGTTGAAATACAAAAATGGTAAAGTGATTACAGAAGCACAATCAAATTACTTTACTGCAAAACTTTATTATAGATGTAAAATATGTACATATGAAACCATATGTAGTATAACACAGTAAATATGTACCACAATCATATTTATTTCTTGTTACTGTCAGTCAAAACTCTGATTTATACGCACTCTGACTATTTTACCAAAAGCCTGAGAAACAATACAACAAGGTATCAACTTCCTAGGAAGCCAGGTAAAATTTACGTGTGCAGCATTGCTTATATTTATTAATCTTAAAGTTTTTATATTTTGGCTTAAGTTTAGATTCATTTCAGAAGCATTCTGTCAAATTATTTCAGGTTGGGAGACAGTATGAACAGCCGCTTTATTCTGAGATGTTTTGAAAGAATGTGGGTGAGAGAGAAGAGAGGTTCTTCTTTAAGAACCAAATTGAAAAGTCAAGTTTTTTGCTGCCAGTAACTATATTCTTATGTAAGTCTTTCAATACCTTTCTTATGAAGAAGGATACAGGAAAAGACTTAAGGAGAATGGCAATGACCTAGCAGATATCTAGAGTTAAAAAGGGTAAAAAAACAAAACCACTCTTGTATTTATATCTAATGCTGGAGGTTGGGGAAATATATCGCCCGAGGGAAAATCTTGAAAGCAGCTTGCAGCCCCAGGACCTGCAGATGGAGAAGAGCTCTCCAGCTTTCAGTGTCAAAGCCATTTGGAGATAAGCTGGATACATTATTTTCTTCTTAAAATTGCTAAGAGAAAGATGTCAGAAAACCAAGAATTACTTAGGAAAACAATAAAACTAGCTGTTTATTCCAACATAAAGGCATTTTTGAGACAATGAGGGAGAGGGAACAAGTACAGGCTCTACTACCATGTTTCCCTGAAAATAAGAGAGGGCCTTCTATTTATTTTTCATCAAGAAGACACCCTAGGGCTTATTTCAGGGGTTGTATTATTATTTTTTTTAAGTACGGTACAACCATCTACATTTATTCAAATATAGTTAAGTCATCTTCTTCTGGAACATCATCATCACTCTCCAAACCCTGAATTCCATCCTGAATTTCTTGCAACTTTATTTCCTTTAGAATCATTGGCCCCAAGCTCTCATGTCGAGCAACAGAGCTCTCATGGGGCAGATGAGAAGGGCTGCTCCTGTTCTTTACCACTCCGTGATGAAATGCATGGGATGTGCAGATGCGCTGTATATCCACACCCATCACTAGGTCTTATTTTCAGGGTAGGGCTTATATTGTGCAAATGCTTAGAAATCCTGCTAGGGCTTATTTTATGGGTAGGTCTTATTTTTGGGGAAACACAGTATATCCGCGAGCTATCCTTGGAACATTTTTTACATGCTATCATTATATAATTTGCACAAAAATTCTAAAAGGTAGGTATTTTCTTTCATTTTTTTTCTTATGCTAACATTAAGATTCAGAAAAACCAAAAAACCATGAAAGTTATAAAAGTCACACATATTTTAGTTGCAAATCTCAAATCCAGTGTATTAGATATTCGGGGGCTTTTTTGTTTTTCTTGTTTTTATTTAGGACTTCTTTTTACCAATTTTTGTTCTTTGAATTTCTTCGTTAAATTGGGGCCCTTTTTGGGAACCATCTTCTTTTTTAGGATGATTTTTTTTGTGGGGTGGTGTGGTTTATTGTTGTTGTGTGTTGTTTTTTCCTATTTTTTCTTTTCTTCTATGTAAGATTTTATGTCCCTCCCCATGGATTCTGGGTTTGGCCATGTTACATGTTTGGCCAATGCAAGGTGAGCAAATGTGGCATCAGCCCAGACCAAGCAGAAGTTTCAGAAATATCACTTGAGTTTTCTCCAACTCTCTTGTTTCCCTTCTCTGAGGAGAATCGCTTGTCTTCAATAAAGGCTCCTCTTTCTGACGAGATCCCGAAATGAGAAACACGCTGAGCAGAGCTTCAGGAGCCAACTGACCAACAGTCCCTGGCACGTAAGGAGAGTGAGGTATCAAACGCTCATTTACGTAAACCATTGCCTGCGTCTTATCTTACTCTCACCCATCTGTATAAAAAGAACTGTCTTGGTGCCTGAAACCACATAACTAAAGTTAACCATTGATGTCATTCTGGAATATTGAAAATGCCCGTTGGCCTCTAGATATGAAAAAAAAAAAAAGAATGAAACACAAATTATGATTTTTCAAAATTGTTTAAATTGTTTAAGTATCATTTATATATTCATTTGCCAAATATATATTGCTAATCTGCTATGTACCTGGACCTGTACTGAACAGTGTACACAGAGTTAGAACATACAGTACATGGTGCCTGCCCTATGTGGAGTTTACATTCTAGAGGGATAATTGTAACTATACTAATTGTTGTGCTGTGGAGTAGTTATTATCTCAGTAGGGAGGTGGATTGAGGAACCAGGGGAGTTAGCACTACCATACAGTTGTCCCTTGGTATAGTTGTCCCTTGGATTAGCCCTAGAATCCCCATGTATACCAAAATCCCTCATACTCTATCTAGTCCCACAGTCAGCCTTGCAGAAATGGCATATGTGAAAAATCTCCCCTCCAGGTATGTGAGTTTAGCATCCAAGGAATACTATATTTTCATCCGTGTTTGGTTCAAAAAAAAATCTGTGCATAAGTGGCCCTGGGCAGTTCAAACCCACGTTGTTACAGGGTCAGCTATACCAGGAATGCACGTACTGTTCATTTCAATGACTGAGAGTGGCTGTAGAACAGCAGCAGATAGTGTTTTAGCCAAAATGAAAGTTTCAGAAGTCTCCCAAGAACACGATGAAATTTTTTTCAGAGGCAATTGTTTTAGTTTTATAGTTTAAAACTTGGTATGACCATGTTGTACATATGTGAGGGCAAACACCACTAAGTAGATTTCCTGTTGGGCATGTACAGTATTATCATCAGTCATTGCAATGATTGCCTCTGATAAAGCACATCCAGTTAAAGAGGCAGAAAGTAGGTGTCTTTTTAGTTACTTTAAGTGAAGTTCTTAATCAGCTCTGGGATTCAGATGCATTCTCTACGACTCTTTGCAGGAAAGGTTCACTACACATTCATCATTGCTCTTTTTCATCCTATTAAAAATATTGAACTCAATACATTTTATTTTAAGCCCCCAAATCAGTATTCACTCAAGTCTAACAAAACATTATTTATAACCTGTTTTATTCATAGATTTGTATATATCTGGTATTTTTCAGATTATCATGAACCAAAATAATATATTTTTATATACAATGATGAGTAATTTTATTCAGTAATAAATTCCCAGCAGTATTATGCATAAATATTCTTTTATCTACCAGAGACATGGATAGACTAAGAATATAAAACACCTATAACAGAGGGAAGGCTGTTAATCTTTATTAGTGGATACTAATAGGTGGGACTGGATCTCACAATGGTAATTGCTTCAAGCATTTAATAGCAGGTTTCATTTTCAAATAACGTCCTTTGCATTAATCTTTATAATAGCATTGGTGACAATACTATTATTTTATATGTTTAGGTTGTATACTCTGCATACAGAAGCTACTTTTTCCCCACACATACAATTTTATATACTGCCACTTGGTACCTAGCAAGACCTTATCTTTGCAATCTATGATTTTAAAAATCCAGGCTTTTAAAAGATATGCTTACCTGAATGTGCTATATTCATGTTTTTTGTACCAAATCACTTATTACAAAAAATATAATTTCCTATAAACTCAGTAGTCTCAAACTTTAGATACACTCAATAAATTGGAACCATTTAAAAAATAAACAGTGAAATACATTCTTTAGATTATGAACTTTAAAAAATATAGTTAAATATAATACAGCCAATATTATTATCAACTTATTTAATCCTTTAGTCTCATTCTAGACATTGGTAAGATTATTGTTGCTCTTTGTATTTATATGATGTCAAAATCCTTTCCGCATATGTGGGTGTGATCCACCTCAGGTCAAAACCAATGTTCACAGGCTTTGTGCAGTGGCAGTATTGTGGCCAATGAAATTTATCCAAGGCACTATTATTTCTAATTGAAAACTTTTCCTAATACCCCGCCATGACAAACTTGAAATATAGTTGGCATTGGCAATCTTTAACAATCTCTATGGAGACTGAAAATAAAAAAAATAATAAAAATAGAAAAGAAAAGAAAAGCAATGTACACAATTATTCTTATCCCCAAAGCAATATTGACCAGTAGAAGCAATTTGGGTAAAGCATTCACCTTGTCATTTCCACAGGTTCTTTGCACATGTTAATTATTTCTCTAATGCCTGCTATCTTTTATTTTTCATAATAAACTGAGTAGAATTAAACTTATTGTAATACATTGCAATAAAGTATATACATAACTAAATATACAAATCTATATATTTAATGTCAAGCATGTTCTAACCAAAAACAATTCTCTTTAATTTACAAAAGAACCACTCCACCTATATTGGTAATATCACGATTTGAATTAGGCCACAGGGATGATCTACTATCTGTGTTAGTCTGGGTTTAGTCAGAAAAGCAGAATTTCCATAGCATTGTAAGAATAAGGAATTTAATAAATGAATTGGGGCTCCCATAGGTGCAGGAGGAGATGGGGTAGTAAAGGTCTGGATGGTAGCAGCTGAGGGATTAGAGAAACAGTCAGTGAGGACGGGGGCTGGGGAGAAGCCAGAGTTCTCCAAGAGGTCAGAGCCTTCCCATCTGGCCACCACAGCTAAGGACCAGAGAAGACTGTAGACTCATCTAAGAAGCTGCTGCGTCTTCCCACTATGGCATTCTGAGAAGAAATGGCTTCCACGCCATTCTTCCTTCCAAATCCTTGCACCGACCAGCTGTAACCCTTAGCTAGAGAGAGAAGGCAGATTGTAGAGAGTGTTGGCAGAGCTTTTTAAAAAACTGACATTCCAACATAATTCCTATAAAGAGAAACCAAATAAACAACTCTGTGTTGACAGGAAAAATAGTTTTCATAGAGATGAGGATGCATGCATATTATAGACTTATTTTTCTCTGAATGGCTTTGGATCCTGTGACGGTTAATTTTAGATGTCAATGTGACTGGATTAAGTGATACTAAGATAGCTGGTAAAGTATTTGTTTTTTCTAGGTGTCTGTGAGAGTCTTTCTGGAAGGGATTGGCATTTGAATCAATGGACTGACTGGGGAAGAACTGCGCTCACCTAATCTGGCCGGGAACCATCCAATTGGCTGAGGGCCTGGGGGTAGAACAGAGGAAAGGTAGATTTTTTTTCCCTCTCTCTTCTGGAGCTGGGACACCCATCTTCAACTGCCGGAGGACATCAGAACTCCAGGTTCTCTGACCTTTGCACTCTGGGACTTGCACCAGTAGTTTCCCAGATTCTGAGGCCTTGGACTGAGAGTCATATCATCAGGTCCCGTGGTTCTCATGCTTTTGGAATTGGATTGAGCCTGCTACTGGCTTTCCTGCTTCTGCTACTTGCAGACAGCCCACTGTGGGATTTGTCAGCCACCATGGTCATGTGAGCCCACTTCCCTAATAGATCTCCCCTTTATCTCTCTCTTTCTTTGTCTCTCTATGCCCTGTTGATTCTGTTCTCTGGAGAATGCTGACTTATACAGATTTTTTTTTTTTAATAATAAGTCATATAATGTCACCAAGCATAAATTGCCTTGGGGCAAACATTGGCTATTTTTACTTACCTTATAACATGTTTATAAGCATTGAAGTAGATAATGCACATCAAACATTAGTGCATTTCAGGTGCTCAATACATTAAGGCATCATTTTAGTAGAAAACGAGTTTGTTCTTAGGGTCTAGGTGCCCAATTCATTAATTCAGTGAACTGAATATATTGGTTGACTTCTTTAACATTCAGTTTACTTACCTGTAAAATGGAGAAGGTAACAATATCTTCATTTAGAATTACAGTTAAGATACAATGAAACAAGACAATGTGTGTCCAAGAATCTTCTTTATGGTTAACTTTGTCTTATTTTGTAGCAACATGTCATTCTCACCATCAATGCTTACCCTCAGACATTAGAAAACGGAGGGGTCTGTTGCTGAAAACCAGACCTTCCTAGCAGCTGCCTGAATCATTCACCCTTTTAGTGACTGGGAAGCAGCACAGCTCCAGCCTCTGCCAGGCCCCACCTGCCTTGACGATCAGGGGTACTGAGAGCAACCCATGAAAAAACAAGGGCAGAATGTCAGGTTCTAAAAGAGGCTAGTTGTGATGGTACTGTGACTTTTTAATAAGCTTCCAAAATATTTTCTTGAATAGTCCTTAGGTATATCTTTTCAGAACTTGACAAGAAGATTGAGCCGTCAATTTACAATTTACAAAGTATTACACTGAAAATTGTAATAACATCTGAGTCTCAAATCAGACTTTAAAAAATCACGTATCTTACTGAGGACAAACATTTTTTACCAGTAGTTCAAAGTATAGGGGTCATTATGAGATTCAGGCCAAGCATGGGGAAGGATGGATTGCAAACGAGGCTCTCAAGTTCCTTTAGGGTTGCATCAGTACCACTCTGACTCCGCAACGGAGCTCCCTGACTGGTGCATATGGGGCATCACAAGAGGAGAAATTTCAGTTACAAAATATTATCATCTTTAATCCGGTAACCATGTGCTGGCCCTGACAATTTTAGCAGATCTTGTGCTATGAATCTGTGAGTTATACCTTCATTTACCATCACTAACCTAGACAGACCAGGTACATCTTGCTAAAAGCATTTCATACATTTAAGATTCTCCACTATTTTTCTCTAGTATATACTATCTAGATATTAGATTGTAGTATCTACTAATAACATGTTTTCAGGAGAAATGAGTGTTTTATTGTTGTTACCTTTTTTTTTTGGTCCTGGTCTCTTGTCTGTCTCTGGGATTGCTGGAGTAAGTAGGAAGGGTGGGTTTCAGATCAGTGGCTACCACTTTGCTTCCCACCTACCTAAACTAATGAATGGCTTAATCAATGAGAATCATTATGATGCACTGGTAAGACTATAGATTCTGCACCCACCATTTCCAAGGTTAAGAGCAAGCCTTACAATTTACTAGTTACATGACCTCAGGAAGGTTATTTAACTTTTTGGGGCCTCATTTTTTCATACTAAAGCTGATAACAACTACTTTATCAGATTGTCTTAAGGATTAACTGAGTAAATACCTGTAAAGTAGTTAGAACTATGCCTCCTGCAAACTGAATATTCAAATAGCTACTTATTGTTAATATTTCAGTGCAGGGCTGACTGTTTTGTTGGTTGTCTACCTTTCGAGATCAAGCCCGTTCTTCTTGTTGTGCCTTCAGAATTACCAAAATTTGCTAGATTTACTAGGAAAATAGAAATACATACATGTTAATATTCTGTAAGAATCCAAACTTGAGAAGTGCTAAGAATATTATTGTATGAAATAAGTTTAATCATGACAAGCTATAGTTTCATCTGATTAAGCTAGGAAGATGAATCTTTTCTTATGTATAATCACAGGCTGTAGGAAATCACAATTTAAACAGATCACATACTGAGTCATAATCACTCCACCCCCCTATCAGACACATCTGGTTGTCTCTCTGTTCCCTTAAGATAAAAGTTTGATGGTGGTTGCCTTAAATAGGTTTAAATCCTTTATCACCAGGTTATTAGATTTAAAGTCATTCTCTGAGAAAAATTGAGGTTATATATTTTTAACTTTCCAAGTTCTGTGGCTGGTTAATTAGAAGTTAAGTTGTTAACCCTCCTAGGAAAGGCTCTGAAACTTCTAATATATCAAAGTATGGTCTCTACGGTCTCTTTCAAGTCATCAGTAGTACCATACTGGACAACCATTTTGGACAGTGTTTTATTCATAGACAATAAAGTTACATTTATAGGCAGTTTAAAATTGATTATGGTCGATATACATAAATTAAGAAGTTGCCTAGAGCTGACTAGGTAAGATATATCAATTAAAAAGACAGTCCTCCATTTCAATGTCTCTTCAATGTCATTGATATGTTCCTGTGAAATCCCCATGAGAATTGAGGACTACCCATTCTAAGAAAACAGAATGCCTGCTAATTATAAACACAGGCATTGTAGCCATATGAAATTTAATGTTTCATTGTATAGAACTAGTAACCCAGAAATAATCCAGTGAAATACTTCTTTCTAGTGGGAAATTTGATCAGGCAAAGTTGTCATAAATTAAGCAAAAGCATCTCAAGGAAGAATTTTTAAAAGTCCTTAGGAAGGAAAAAAATCCAATTAAAATTCATCTTAATCCTTTGGTCAGTGAAACAGAAAACATACAAGGTACCTCAACCGAGGGATTTTGATAAAGGTAATCCATTGCAAAGGTGTCAGAGTGCTGAAAAACAAAAACATTGTGGAGATAACACAGAGGTAATAAACTAAGCAGAAAATATCTATATATTTTGTAAATTTTTCTATATAGTTGGGAGGAAAACCTTGGCTATACAAAAGAAATGAAACAAGAAAGTATTTTCTTTTAAGTATATTAACCTTTCATAAAGTACTTTTAATATTAGCAATTAATATAAGCTAATTAAACTTTTTAAAAAAACATAAAGATTATCCTTACAGAAAGTTGGACAAATACATTTATAAAAATGTTCTCACAGGATACATCTTAGCAATAATGATCTATTTAGAAAAACTCCCTCTAAAAATCAATTTTTTTAAATATAAAACTTTTATTCATAAAGATATTCTTGATGGGCTACTAATCTTGTATGTTTTGTGGTTTTTTCTTATTCTGCTTTGTTGTTTTGTTTTTTAAGTTTTTTTTTTTTGTTGTTCGTCTTGTTGTTTTTTACTTCTTCCTTTTTTTTTTTTTTTTGTTGTTTTTTTTTTTAGGCAGCACCTCCTACTACTTCTTTTTAAATGAGAAAGATATATATCTGTGTATATGTATGTATGTTAACACTTTATTAAAATATAATTTACAAATAATGAAATTCATTTTGGTGTACCATTCAGTGAGTCTTGACAGATATATATTATTATGAAATCACAATCATAGTCAAGATACAGAATAGTATTAACATCTCTACCCAAATTCCCTCATATTTTTTGTGGTCTCCAGTTCCCGACAACTGATCTGTGCTGAGACATCTCCTCCTGTATTAGTTATCTCACTCTGCCTAACAAATCACCCCAAAGCTAAGCAGCACACAACAACACACATTCATCATCTCTCTGTTTCTGTGGATGGAATCTGGCAGGGCTTACGTCAACAAATTTATTTCTTTTAATAGAAATCATGTAAATCTTACCAACATCTAGATCTGAGAATTGTCACTTTTACAAACAATTTTATAATTCAGTGAAATTAAAATGCCTCAGTGACCTATAGGTTTACTCTATACTAGTCTCATCACGTTCCATATTTTATGACTTACCAGCTAAAAGGTACCATATTTAATTAAAATAATTAAATACAAACACGAAGGTAGCTAAATAATATATTTCATGACTGTTAATGAAAAGTATCGTTCTCCATTTGTCTGTGCATTACCAATAAAAAGGAACATATTTGGAATTTTACAAGTTATAAATAGCACATATGATAGAAAAATGCTAACAAAATGTCACTTTATGTCTATTAAGGCTGATGATTTATTATTTTCCTTTATTGAATGTCATCTAACTGGTCCATGCCTTAAAAGATTTTCTTTTCATCACTGGGGCAGGTACTGGATCTTTGCACTTATCTCATTTTCTTCCAATAATAAAATAAGTGAAACCTAATTTAATGTACCCACATATCAAAGGAATTTGTTCAGGACAACTTGAACATTTTAGCCAAAAATTATCACAATTGAAATGTTCCTTACATGGGACTATTTAAAAGCTTGCATTAAGAAATATAATAGCTTTGTCCTTACCTTGAATAACTGCAAGTTGGTCCAAGCATGCTATTTATAATTAAGTGGCAGTGACCAAGAAGTATATTGATTTGTCATCAACTAATTGGCTGAAAATTCTGCCTGAGGAATTGTGGTCTATTTTCATGTAATAAATCCAGAGCCACTAATTTGCTTTTATTTGCATCTTTCATACAGGCATGCCAGTACTAGGCACAGAATAGGCACTCAGTGTACAGCCATTGAGTATTATGCTGATGATTATGTAGTTAAAATAGCACCAAGGACAATACCATATGTTTACATCTTGGAGAAGATGGCAGTGACAATCTTTACCCTCCACTATGCAGAATAGTTAAAAATCAGCCAAATAAAAACGATACTCTTATGGATTATTATAAACAGTCAAAATATGATAAAATTATCAACATTTCTTGATATGAAAAAATAATTGATGTAACTATTCAAACTGAAGCAAATAAAAAAAAGCCCTAGGCTACTGTTATTTTAAAGGAGTCCAAATAAATGAATGGGGAGATAGGAAGGAAAAAAGGAGGGAGGGAGGAGGGGAGGAGAGAGTGTGGGAGGAGGAAGATTTTCTCAGCCTTAGATTGAAGATAATTACTGTAATCTAAATATGGCAACACCAATTAGCAGTTCATTAGAACCTATATAATCCAGTTGAAAATACAGATAACAAATGGCTGGCTTTTTTTTCTTTATAAAAATATTTTTGTATCTGTAA